GTTGTTGCGAAAACGAAAGTATTCAATCTGGATTGCCTCTGTCTGCTGTCTCGAGTCGTTCGGTCGAAGAAATACCGAGGGTGAGGGACTGATATGTGAACGTCAGGGCTGCCGTTGAAGGCGACAACAGTGAAGCTATAATGAGACTTATGATGAACTCTATTTTATGAGAATGATAGATCAGTCGAAGGGTTTGCTTGAACGGCCAAGGGTCAAAGATATCTGAACCGGTGATCACTGTAACAGCTTTCTTCCCCTCATTTACGGGAAACGGCTCTTCATAGTACCGAACTCTCCCACCTTTTGTTGCGACCCTCTTCCTTTGGTGGTTAGCAATCCAGCAAGACCCGCGCAAATGGTGGGACAAGTGTCGAAAGAAATACGTAGGCTTCTTCACTTCCGGGTGAGTTTTGACACCGAGCCCGAATCCACATTGCTAGATCTAGCACTTTGCGAGAGAAAGCCCCGGTAGACTGGCCAGCGAGGGGTCAATCAGTGAACCAGATTTCTTCAACGTGATGGATCTTGTTGCCATCTCGGTATGCTTTAACGCGAGATGCCGGTGGGGAACCCCAACTAAAATGGGAGAAATGCTGCTGAAATCTTCTAAGTCGACTAGCCAAGAATTGATTGAGATGGGGGGGTTCTGGGCCGTTTTCAACAGTAAAATCTCATTTTAGTGGATGCCTTGAGACAGAGCCTACAAACCAACTGAAGACAAGACTGATGGTATCGTGAGTCTGATACATTCTATATAATGGCATCTAATGTATGTGATTCCCTCTGTGGTACCAGTGCCCACATATCCCCGAAAGCTCAGGCCAACGGCTCTTTACTGGAGCATGGCCGTTCAGTGTCGTGAGGGTTCCATTGTGGGTTTTCAGAACGGCCACCGTCTCGAGGTGGCGTTGAAAGCCTAACGGTCACCGTTTGACTCCCCAAGAAAGGATCTCACGATCAAATGTCGGCGACCTCAACGTCACGTCTGTCCTGGTGTCGTGGGGCGTGTACACACCTCTCATGTGGAGAGCGGCACGTTTATCAAGATCGTGTATGCTCCCCTGGGTCATCTCATGCGACTCATTATTGAGGTTTCATTTTGGTCGATCGTTGACATCGCTAGCCTCCGCACGGCGAGAAGCTGCTGTTTCCCTGCAAGATTCACTACATCTAGAACGATAGGAGCATGCCAAACGTGTTATCAGATCCATATTAAGCAAAGACTCGAAATTTCTTCTTCAATCTACTTCATTTGAAACATCTAAAAACGCAATGGAGAACTATGCAAAATTGCCAGACGTCATCTATATCCAAACAACAACAACACCATAGCGGTGTATAGTTTCCTTCCTTTCAACACACCTACCTCTCATGCAGCCGCAAAAACAAAACCACAACCACAACCACAACCACAAATCCAGGACTGAGACATGGTAGTATAACAATCGCTTTTAAGAAGTTGTTCATGTTGCAAGGTTCTCCACCTTGGTAGCGAGGGCCTCAATCGTTCCGTTGGGCTTACTGGATTCCTCGCTTGACTTGCTCTCACTTTCCTGAGAAGGCGCCAAAGATGGTACCTGAGGCACCTTGAATAGATAATCACTAGGGATAAGCTTGGCTCTAGCTGCTGGGTTGATAGTTAACCCGAAACCCGGCTTGTCCAGGTCAGCGGTGGTAAGGAAGCCCTTCGTGGGGATGGGTTCATCGGTAAAGAGGTCTCCAAACACGGGCAACACGCTGCGGCCGTCGGGAGAGTTGGCCAAGTACTCCTGGAAGGGGGTATTGGGCTGGGAGATCTGGAAGTGGTAGCTATAAGGTCCGCTCGCGTGAGGAACAACCGGAATATCGTAGGCGGCAGCCAAAGCAGCGACCTTCAGAAGCTCAGTCAGACCGCCAAGCCACATAACATCGGGCTGGATAATATCGAGATTGCGGCCCTCGACGAGTTTGCGGAAACCGTATCGTGAGTACTCGTGCTCACCAGTTGTGAACTTGACAGTAGGATGGGCCCGCTTGATGAGTGCAAAGCCATCAGTGTCATCAGGGGACAGGCATTCCTCCCACCAGTTGATGTTGAGATCGAGACAAGCCTTGACAACCTCGATTGTGTACGTGACATTAAGACTCATGTAGCAGTCGACCATGATGGGGAAATCGGGACCAACAGCTTCACGGTGCTTCCGCAAAAACTCGACATTCTTTCGCAGACCCTCATGGCCATCATCAGGGCAGAAGGGTAAAGGAACCTTGGCTCCCCAGAAACCCATGGATTTGGCAGCTGTGGGCTCAGGGCCAGTGCAGTAGAAGTCGAGGCGCTCCTTGGTAGCACCACCAATGAGACGGTACACGGGCTCATTGCGAACCTTTCCAATCAGATCCCACAGAGCGAGATCGATAACTGAGATGATGGCAATTGGGAGACCCTTGCGACCATAGAACATGGAAGCTCGGTACATCTGCTCGAAAAGAAGGTTGGTGTTGCGGGGGTCGGCACCGATGAGAAAACGCTCGAAGTGCTCGTGAACAAGCCAGCATGCGGGAGGGCCTATTGGCAAATGTTAGGCACTCTGAAGGGCCTCGAGTCACTGTGCCATTGGCTTAACACAGGGGTCCAAACTCACCTCCAAAACCAGTTGCGAAACCAACTGTGCCGTCTGTAGCTTCAATCTCGACAAGGAATGATCCGAGAACGTTGATGCCCCAGCTAGTACGTGACTTCTTGTACTTCTCCCATTTTGAAGCTGGTGTTGAGATATCGCTGTCGATGAGCCTACAAATAGAATGTGAGTAATGCGATCGAGACCAGGTATGCAGAGGCAGGGTGAGCGAGCTTACCAGTGACCACCCTTGACGTTGTGATAATCACCACCTGATCCAACACCACCGATGATGAATGACCTTACAGCCTTGATCTTGGGGAAATCCTTAACAGATGTCATTGTGAACAGTCCAAGAGAAGTCAATAGATTGAAATGAATTGTGTGATATGCGCAGAGTCACTCCTCAGAAGGTGCGCAGTGAGTTCTGACGAAGGCGTTGAATGAAGAAGAAGACAACAGAATGGCTACGAGCTGGGGATGGGCTTATTTACAAAGGATGCACTTGTGGCACTACAAAGGTGGGCTGGAGAACACAATTGTAACCGATCGCGGATCATGGAACACAGGAGCCAATGGCTATGGTCGCGAAGCTCATGATTGAGTGGCCAGTAAGTCTTGTGATAGCATTCCGAGGGCAGAGGCCGGCAAAACGTGCGCCGGAATCCCCTCTAGCAAAGCAGATATCGGGTTAAGATGCACCGAAGTTGGTGTTGATGATGGAACCTTCCCCAATTACAGGGTCATCTCCATATTTTCTCGGTCCTTGTCGGGGTTCCACAAGGAAGACTTGAGGGCAACCTTGGGCCATGATCACGTAGTCCAGTAGCTCAGAGGCGGCTCAATAGGTCCCCAACTTTCACCTTGGGTTGATTTTTCTGAGGCAATTGGAAGTTGTGAGCTTTTTTTCTTCTATCTTCTTTCTGTGTGGGGGTTTGCCTTTGAGCTCTTGTTGATCCCCATTACTACCTGAAGTCATACCTGAAGTCTATGTCAGCTGTTGCCAGACCCAATCTCGCATCCACTGGAGGCTCTTGAAAGCCGAACCCGGTCTTTGCGGGGTGACAAGGTTGGGAAGGCATGTGGAGAGGATATAATTACGTTAGCAGCTTGGGTAAGGTAAAAAGAAAAACCAGCCGTGGATCGAAAGCGATCAACATCATATTTATAAAGGTAACTACCTAGGTATGCCCTGGACACTTCCGTCTCGCAGCAAAGATATTCCCTGCCACCTGGATTCTGATGGATGCTAGCTCTGTCAAGGCCATTGAACCTGATATAGGTTGACATGCTCAAAAACAGTGACTGCTTCTGAGGCTGAACAGAACAATCCTGCACTGACAGGGCATGCATGGGTGAAGCATGTGCTACATCCGGTCTGGGGCAATGAATTCGGCAAATGATCCACTTGTGTATCTCATTCCACGAATCAGATTATACCGCTTCTTTCATTTCCCCGCCTCAACCCCTTGAGGAAAGAGCTTGTGAGGGTGAAGACTAGGTACCTAGGGTACTAAGTCGAGGCAGGAAGGTTTTGGGCAGGTACGCGTGCGGTGCGAGATCAGCTCCTTCTCTCCGCATTACTTGAAAGTTTATGCCCATCTTAGGTAGGTACCCTAAGTTGGATATCCTGTTGCATGTGCAAGCAAACTGTGTCTCTCCTTTACCTCACCACCTTTGACCTCCGGCTCCCGTCATTATCAAACCAAATCAATACCTTAAAGAGTCTCTCATAGTTTTGTTGCAACTCCTGATAATTTATTCATTCAGCGGCTCTGGCCAACGGAAGTACACCGATGAAACCGAGTTCTGGCTGTTTGTTTAGCCCAGAGTCCACCTCGGCCCACCTCAAATTGGTCCGGTCATCACGGCACCACTTCCCATCCGTCCGAGGCACAAAGCCAGCAGAAAGCGAGGAGGAAAGCGAGAAAAAACAGGTGATAGGCAAAGGGGAACAGGGCTGCTCATAAATAGGTAGGTAATATTAACAGCGAGTATTCGTGCCTTTCGGTAATTCGCGGTATTGGTCAAAATATTTTGCATTACCCGGACAATAACTCCCCAGCTGCAGCCCAGGTCCTACACCCATTCTCTTAGTACTTAGTACGGGACAGGCCTATTTATCCTCGGGCGATCATTCTCCTGATCCCGCTGCCCATTATCCCGGATCGCGAGGTCCCCTTTGCAACGAACGCGGACTCATCGTTCGCGCGCATACTTGCTATCCATCATCTCGTGGCATGCTTGCTTTGCCTGAGCTTACCCCTGTTATTCGGCCTCACTATTGTCGACTCTCACACGACCGCTGGTGAGCTCGTTCTTGCATCGTACCGACTCACGACCAGCGGCAAGGGCTCTGGGGAAAAGGGAACCCAAAGCCCAACATCTTACTTACTCTCAGCCATGCAGAACGGGGCCAGCAAAATGTCGGGCGAGGGCTCGGTTGGAAATCGCCCGCCCTCTACAGAAGCAGACAGTGATGAAGCCAACCAATTCCCTAGCGAGGATGAGGACCACGGCGACCACGAAACACTCTGTCGTAATGGGAAGAGAAAGCGTCCTGTCTCAGTCTCGTAAGTGCAGCCTTCTACTCGTCTCCGTTCGCTTCCCCTACATACTTTGTCAATCGTACCTTGCTTGGCCTTGCACTCTCGTTAAGTGCATGTCTTGATAAGAGTTCCTTTCGTCCTCTTGTTAATAATTCCATGATTTGATAATCATGTTGGAGTCTTATCTACATTTCTTATACTCTCTTATCAACACCATGCCACCAGCTGACGCCGCTTCATCGCCTCATGCTCCATGCTCCCCGCCCTCACAAAATCTCAACTACTATACCACATTACAAATACAATCCACCTTGTCCTCAAATATACAGTTTGTCGCCGACACCGAGACTAACAATATTGTGCCCAGATGTGAGCTATGCAAGCAAAGAAAGGTATGCCCTCCGTGACACGATCTTGTCTCTTGGTGTTTTGCTCATGCCCATCGATGCTGACTCTTCACACCTGGCAGGTCAAGTGTGATCGTGGGCAACCATCGTGCGGCTGGTGTACCCGCAATGGCGCTATATGCGAATATAAAGAACGCAAGAAGCCTGGTTTAAGAGCGGGCTATGGTCGCGAGCTTGAGCAGCGCCTCGACAAGCTCGAGGAGATATTGCGCTCCCATGCTGAGATTCTCCATGGCAACTTGGCATCCAACACAAATCCCGTCTTAGCTGCCAGTATTCGGCATAGTAACCCAAGTCTTCCGAGCGACCAAGGAACTCCACGGGATACTCACCCAAACCTCCTCCGACCTTCAGAACCAGTCCGCACGCCTCAAACCGATCCTGTCATGTTTGGTCAGAAGGCACCCAGCTCCAACTTTGCCCCGAGCACACAGAGTCTCGATTTCAACGTTGCTCATACACCTAGAATGAACGATGGTTACCAGAGTCAGAACCAGGCGTCGATGTCAGGTGTGGCAGCATCCTCCCAATTATCACCCATGCAACATGTCGCTGTCACTCAAGACTATTACACGTCTGTACAACCCAACATTCATTCACCCACGGCCCCACTATCATCGGCTCCAGGCACATCGACCCCAGATCGAGATATGCCGCCTTACGACCTTCTATATGCACTTGTTGATCTCTACTTCAAACATATCAATACCTGGTGCCCCATTTTGCACCGCAAAACGACTCTAGATAGCCTTTTTGGACCATCTGCCCTCGATGAAACAGATCGAGTTCTACTCCACGCCATAGTTGCAACCACAATGCGCTACTCGACGGACGCTAGGCTAACAGAGGAGCGGCGAGAGCACTATCACCGAGTTTCCAAAGAGCGCGTTCTCCTTTATGGCATGGAAAACTCCTCGGTCAAGGCGTTGCAAGCTCTCGTTATCCTGGCTCTTGATCTTTGTGGGAGCAGTAACGGCCCGCCAGGGTGGAATATTATGGCTTTGATCACTCGTTCTGTAGTACAGCTTGGTCTCGCTGTGGAAATCACCTCATCCACTGTGTCGCCTCATTACCTTTCAATATACACGCTTCGGGCCATGACACTCTCGGAACCCAAGGATTTTATCGAGGAAGAGGCGAGACGGCGTCTATTTTGGATGATATATCTTCTGGACAGATATGCAACTCTTGCGACTGCTTTTGAATTTGCTCTGGACGACAAGGAAATTGACAGGACATTACCGTGCCGTGATGACTTGTGGATCAAGAATCAAAAGGTTGACACTCGATGGTTCAGCACTGACCTACACTCTGGTTCGCCCGGCCATGATATTGATCAGCCAGAGAACCTGGGTGCATTCGCCTACTACATCGAAATCCTCGGTATTCTCTCCAAGATACACAAGTTTCTTAAACAGCCAGTCGACATTAGTGCCTTGAGCGATGTGGAACAATGGCAGATGCGGTACAAGGAACTTGACAACATGCTGACATCCTGGAAGTTCAGTCTTCCTGGTGAATTTGGGAATATGGCAAAACTGTTCCATCCAGGGAGTAAAAGCATCAACTGCGCTTGGGTCATGCTTCATGCCACCTACCATACGGCCGTTATTCGCCTTCACTCGTCAGCTGCCTATCCTACAACGAGGTCACCCATATTCACTCCATCATATAGCGCGTCGCAACGATGTCATGGTGCAGTTGAAAATGTGGCTGCCCTCGGGGAATTTGTTGTGAATAACGGGATGCTAGCAAAGCTGGGTCCACCATTTGCGTTTACTCTCTGGGTTTCGGCTCGTCTGCTCCTTGTTCATGGCTCAACAGTTGAACATAAACTTTCACCGCAGCTTCCGTTCTTCGTCGATAGTCTGCGTGAAATGGGTCGTTACTGGCCTGTTGCGGCACGATATTCCCAGTTGCTGCAAAGAGTCTTGGATGAGCATCACGATAGCGAGCGACAAGGTGACGGGATTACGCCCAGTTCAGTCAAAATCCTCTCTGATATGCGACGCACAGCATTTGACTTGGATTTCCTCATCTCGCGGCAGCCCAGACAGCCTAGTGCTCTGAGTAGGTTACCGAGCGTCACGCCCGCGAGGACACCGGCTCCCAACGAGCTTGAATATCTTGACGTGTTCGACTTTTTCAACGTACCTCGACTCCCTTTTGGGGGTGAGCATATTTCCGGCGCCAATGGAACACCGGCTCCGCCAGGGGCCGAGATGAGCGCGTCCAACGACAACGGAACGGGCTTGGGGGCGTCAAATGAGTTTAATATAACCAACTTCATGGTCGATGCCAACAGTGACTGGCTGTTCAAACAAGAGGGAGGGCCCAAGTATATGGCAGCTACATAAAGCGCCGTTTCAGCATAAGCTTCTTGTTGTTCATCAGTATTGAAAATCATTTTGAGTTCTGGGCGGTTTTTAATTATCAGGATACCCTTTATTTCGGATATGAGCGGACTCCAAGTTGATAGCACGACAAGATGCTCTATGGTTATACCGTTGGAAACTTGTACATAAATTTGGAAGTGGAAATGTGGTGGACAAAGGTTGGAGCTAATAACATCTACACGACAAGTACTTAGGATTACGACTCACGGGTTATGACAAGAATAAAGAACAACTGAAAAGCGATAGGACGTTTTATCATGTCATATCAAGGATTTGAAACATATCGTGATATTTGCGATGAGATGTAATCTCTATGGGCTTGGCCAGGTGCATCAGTTCTCGACTGCAGTCTGATAGGTATTGCCGGTGCAGTACATGACCCAACCATCAAGATTCATCTTCTTGATAACAGTACTGAAACCATCTGTACCCTTTGCCTTGCCCTTCTTCGAGCAAATGGCTTTGCGATCGGACTCCTTGACCTTGGGCGCGCTCTTAGGATATTCAATATTGAAAACAGGCTTCTTGGCCTTGATGAACTTGGAAAATGTCTCACACTCAGAGTACTCGACGCATTGCTCATTGACTGAGAACTGGACGAAGGGTAGAACAGAGGAGATGATATCGCCGGCGTTCTTGAGACCGGTGGACATATTATACTTTGCAGCCTCTGCGGCAAGGAACTTGATATAGTCGATAGAGTCTTTCTTGGTCAGCTTGAGGCCATTGTCGTTTTGCTTCGGCTCGTGTTAGTTCCTTTACGGACGTCAAGAATAAGTGATACTTCTTACATAACCATCGACGTTGTCGGGGTCAATAGCGTCGCAACCCTTTTGAGCAGCAAGCTTGATGCGCTTCTTCATGATGTTGCGAACATTGGTGCTTCTCAGATTGAGCCATTTCTCATCAGGCCAGCCGTCGAGAGTCTTGCCAAGATCGGCCTTCTTGAACTGGTTCTTGTCATCGCGCCAATCCTCCCATGATCCGGCGCTGAAGTAGCAGATGACCTTCTTACCAGCCTTGTGTAGGGCTGTAAAGGTCTCGGCGTCGTTATCATAGAGATCCAAGTCGTAAATGCCAACGTTGGGCTTGAGATCCTTGGTGGAGCCGTCCTTGTTGAGCTTGATGGGCTTGAGGAGAACGATCTGCCATTGTGAGCCAACTTTGGGTTGCCAAAGACTGCTACGGGCTTTGAGATAGGGCTCTGTTGAATCGTCTGCCTCTGAGCTAGCGGTATCGTCGCTGTTGTTTCCTCCCTTTCCTCGAGTGAGGCCAACACCAAGTCCAACAGCCAGAGCGACGATGACTACAAGTGCCACGCCAACGGCAGTGAGTTTCTTCCACAGTGGCCAGGATCGCTTTGTTTTTGCCACATGCGGCTTCTCTGAGGTCGCAGCCTCTGCTGCATTTGTCGTCATGACTGTGATGTGATTGCAATGCGAGTGCACGAGGACAGATGTGTTCTATCAACTGGCAACGGCTGGCTCCAGCGAGGTTTTAAGGTAGGGGGGAATAAGCAAAGCTTCAATTTTACATGCCAGGCACCTGAGCTCTAAGCCTCATCCGGTCCATAAGCTGTCCAAGAGGGTTTCAAGAGTCAGGGCGGAGCAGAAATATTGCATGGATAAGATGGGCTCCTGTCAGCACCAAGCCATTAGCTTAAGGTCTAGAACTAGCTGAGGACCCAGCACAAGGTGCATTCCATGCCGTTGCTATTTACAGGGCTTCGGGAGCATCCGAACGAGACAGAATTTGAGTTAGGTTGGCGATCTGCATCTGTTTTCTGCTGTCCATGTATAGTCTAGGTATTATGTATAACACGCAGATCACCGCCTTTGAAACATTCATTCCATCCCGTCTCTCCTTTCTGGACTCGAAAACCCATCATCGGGGCCTAAAGCTCGGTGTAACACACACTTCACATTCTCCCATTTTCAATAACTCATGGAACATGATCCTTCAGCTCTTCCACGAGCACACTTTACGGCACGAATGTTTCGTCTAATTGGTAATCCCGGCTAGCACGGCATTACAGGGTAGAGGCTTAGGCCGCACAATTAAAGAGGCCGCTTAAATGGCACAATGAGATCAGTCTCAACGTGGCTCAGCCCAGATCGTATATTAATTAAGTACCTACGGAGTACATACCTAGTTGTTAACTCTGATTCAGCCCCGTAAACTGCGTAATGCAGTGGTGATCTTAGAGCCCTATAATTCCTTCTTTATATCACTCTAGGCAAAGCATAGCCATGCCAGTGACTCGTCTGGTGTTGGCATCGATATCAGTCGACGTCTTTCTCGTTTCATAGCCACCTCTCTTCAGAGAATGTCCCACCTTGAGGTCCTGTTGATGCGCTTGCAAACCAGCAGCGCGGTATGATGGACTCATAATGACAACAATCGCATTTAAAGGACTACACTCATTATACCAGGTCTCATAGTTTCCCTGAAATGGATGAATGCATAGTAAAGGTATCCGTAATCTAAGATAGGTAGTCTTGATAGGGTGTGAAGTCTAGCTATTCGGTTGATGTTTTGCGCCAAACCACCAAACCACCATCAGATACCATGATGGCTTTCTTGTTGCAGAATGCTGGACTCGGGAGACAGCGATTCCAGCTCATTCTTAGCCTGCTACCATAGGTACTTTAGCCTAAGGTAGCTCGTCCAGATACACGATGCTCACTATTCCCCGTTGACATCGGCCGAGATGTAAACCTGAAAAGGAAACTCGGCGACCAAGACTCCGAAAAGGACAACAAAACATTAGAAACCAACGTAAGGTGACTATTGAGCATAAATATCGCCGAAGAAGACAGGTTCTAGATATTGAGGTCCAGCTTCATAATTCTGCCTATGGTGGTTCCCAATTACGTTGAATAGTTGCCGTCAATAACGTATCTCATTGCCATCATGAAGACCACTTCCGCTGGATTCGTGTTGACTTCGGCTGTGCTGGCTGGGCTCGCTCATGCAATTGGCATGGCACCGCCGCCGCCTGTTGAGCTTGTGCAAGGCTTCGACTGGAAGGACCCCTTTGCTCTCGATGCCATGGCCTCATTCCGACCTACCTGCGAGGTCAGGTCTCAGTTTGAAGCTCTCGAGTACACCCTCAAAGACTTGATGGAGCCTCCTCCCAAGGGGTTGAAGCCATGGTCGAAGGGTCTGAAGGCGGTCTTCGCTGATAAAGAATACCCTGGAGGATGGCTGGGTCTCGATCCTCACCTTGATGGCCGAAGTCTGCTGCTGATGAACTATGATCAAATTCCCCTTCTGGTTCGCAGGTGGATTGAGCAACAGGAGCGGACTGACGGGAAGGGGAAGGCCCTGTTTGCGGTTCTTGAGAAGCCAAAGAACGACGAGGATGAGATCGAGCAAGTTGTCCAGTTCCCAGAGGCTGACAAGATCGATCGCGACAATGACAAGGACAAGGTTGCCATATTCGCACCAGGCGCCTTGTATGGGATACTTCCTCTGTGGACGGCAGAGACGAGTAAATGCGAGGGTATGCCTCCAGATCCAGCCAATCGATTGGAACAGTTGCTTACAGTGAAATAACAGATCAACTTGTCGACCTGAGCAAGTATAAGCCCAAGCCTTCAGATGGTGGGGTTGTTGGTTGGGTCATGCATACTAAACCCCAGAACAATAAGACGAAACTCGACATTAAAGTCCAGGCACTGAAGACGAAGGAAGTCAAGAGTGGTAAAGAACAAGTCCAGGCAAAGTCTGCATCAAGAGAGGAGCTGTAGGGTAGGCATGGCTGAATATGGTACCTCGCTCGATGCTGGATGCTGGAATGACTGCCTACCTACTCCGTATGTAAACTGCAAACCCTCAGTGCCCACATACTTGATGGGACGCTTTTGTGATCTTCTTCTGTAGGTAGCCAAATAATACTAGGTACCTAGTAATAGAGGGATAGCTGCATAAAGGGTCTTGTGCCTGTCCTTGATGGACACCGATTTGCATTTGGCATTGTGCATGCAGGAGAGAGAAATACGCATCTATCACAATAAATAAACCCAGGGCACTAAAAAGCCATAACGGCCTAACTATCGGGTAGGCGTCAAGGGTTGTCTGTTCCTGCCTAGGCGGTGATTGAGATGGGTGCCACAGGTAAGGAATCATGCTGAGAGAGTACGATATTCACCTGTCATCATACTCACCTACTCACTAACCTTGTCCTCAGGTGTTCTAACAGGAAAAAAACTTTGTGGGATGGGATATCTCCATTGACCGCTGTTCTGATCTACGACTCATACCAGTATGTATGTACCTATACAGGGACAAATGATCCTGGTTTGGTTCGCTGGGCACCGATTATTCCTTCCGCGCACACCGCCTTTGGTGTTGTGTGTTTGATCGGATCGACGCCAGCTTCACGATGCAGGATTGAGTTGTCATGATATGGGTCTGTTTGTCATGAAGAGTCATTCAACTAATGCAGGAGGTTGCGGTGGCCATCGTATGAGAGCCCATGGAATGGAAAATTCTCTCAGGCGAACAAGAAAGACATTGGGTATCATGCTTGAGGTTTATCACAGCGGCAAACCAACCCTTGAACTCGAATGAATGAGGCTTTGGCGATATGCATCAATGCGATTCCTTCACCAACCTCCTCATAAGGTATTGAATTCTCATCCAGTCCAACGTTGGAAAGCCCCATCGTTGTTCATGACGAGGTCTAGCTACACCAGGCACTCGTGGCAATGCGACCTTGCTAAGCTACCCCAGTATTGCATCCAATAGCTTCCGGTGACAATGGAGCGTACAGTATGTACGTCCAGCTTTTCAGATTGCGTTATATCTGAGAGGGCGGCTTCACGGGTCTGAGGAGCATGCGATGCATGATGATGATGATGATGATGATGATGATGATGATGATGATGATGATGATGATGATGATGATGAGAGAATATTCAACCGTCGTCAGCCACTATCACCGTGTTGATGTGCAGCGTGATGCTTGATGTTCTCCCGGATGCGGTTCGTTGCAGAAGTGAAGAAACCCACCAACTAACTAGGTACCTAGGTAGGTAGGTAGCCAACCCGACCGCCAACAAACGCCATGACACAGTTTACATGTCGTCAGAGAAGTCCCCACAGCTCCCGTCTCGAACTGCAGCTACCTTCCTTACATGCCCACTCTGCAGATGCAGTACTGCATGTTGCATAGTACTTGTCATGCATCATTCATTCCGAATAGGTACTTTAGACTACCCGAACACTGCGCATCTGGCTATCTTGAAAATCAGCATCAGAGTCAAAATCGAAAACATATTCAGTTGAAATGGAAAACGTGAGATGATACGGTCGACAACGGCCGGCACCAAGTGAATGCCAGTGACAAAGATATATCCTCGTCAGCTACACCAGAACTGGAGGCTGGGTGACGAGAACAGCCTTACCGTTTGTCACTTCAGATCCTTATGCGTTGTACATACATACAGGAGCAGTATCCGTACCTAGGTTTTGAGCTTGGCTGATCCATCGAGACGCGCTCATGCCCAGGGAATCACAAGCTTTTTTCTTTCTTTGATACCCGATAACAGCCTCAATTATCTTGACCTTTCCGACTCGGGCTACGACTCATCTCTTCTTGTCGCTGCCTCTGTTCTATTATTGACTCTGTCTGTTGCATCTCCTCCTCCTCCTCCTCCTCTTGTTGCGTATCACCATCGATTTTGCTGGACAAAACCCAAACCAAATACCCCCCACGTGCTCGTCTTTTGCTTCTTTTGTCAAGACTCGTCTTCGACCTCATCCTCATTACCAACCTACCTATCTTTTCCGCTTTCGCAGACTCCTTCTATGAGCTTCTCTTATCTTCCTCACCATAAAACCAACCTTCTCACCGTATCTACCCTGCGTATCATTGCAATACTTGCCTTGTTCTGCATCCGGCGAAGCCATCCTCTCAAACCGCTTACAACCAATCCCTGCATCGATCGGTCCGGTCGAAGCGGTCTCAGCGCTCTCGATTTGTACCGTCTGTACCTTTTCCTCGTGTCGCTGGTACTCCCCCGTAGCCGCCAACAATCTTTAATTTCGCTCCAGTCCCCCCCAGCCTCGACCAACGCCAAACCGGACTTGTCCTGGTCTCTGCCCGTCCCATCAACGACTTGGACCTGGCTCTTTTCCCAACCCAACATCTCTCCCACAAACAAAACAAAATCTCACTTTACTTCTACACGCATTAAAGTTATCAACTCCCTGCTGCATTCTCTCGATCCCCTTGCGCAGATTCCACCACCGATTATAACACAGATTCCAGTAATGGGCAGCTTCACTTTCAAGTGGTAAGTCGCAATTTGATATGCTGCGTTGCTATGATGCGTTGCGATGCGCTGCCCGACAAATTTCATCGCGATAGCTTCGACAATGTTCCGAGTCACACTTTGTCTGCCTCAGCACGAGACAAGCCAATTGAGCTCTGTCTCAAGAGTTCACCTTGTCCCATGCGTGTGCCTCTTGAGGCTGCTTCATATTGCGGACTAGTCTAGCTGTTGCAGACCGCGACAGCTTTTATCCATGTCTGAGACACCCGACACTGACCCCAAATTTCCTATAGGGAGCATCCCGCCGACGAGGTCTACGTGACGGGCACATTCGACAACTGGACCAAGAGCGTTCAGCTCGAGAAGGAGGGCAATGTGTTCTCCAAGACAGTCGACCTGAAGGAGCCCGAGGGCAAGATTTACTACAAGGTGCGTCAGCGTCAGCGAGCCTCGACCCGCAACCCCAACAGCACCTCTCCTTTTCGATATTCAATTTGCATTTGGTACTGGTTTGGTATAACACGAGTTCTGCACTCTTCGCCAGCATTTGAGACAAACATTCGCAGTTCTTGAGTCATATACAGATGGCGAGGAGAACCATTGGCATCAACAGCCAGCCTATCTTGCGCGTTTGCTTCTCCGTATTGCTCGAACGAGATGGACGAATAGCTGTTATGACCGTGCCGCCCAGGAATCCGTGCTTTTGCGCCCATCGCTATCGCAATCTGCAGGGCTTTTTAAGCCTAAAGAGCTTGGAGGCGCAAGAGCGGTGGCTGCCGTAATTCCAGCCCCCTGCCCATGGCTTTTTTTTCTTGCAAGTTTGCTTCGCTGCCAGGATCGGGGTCTGAACCCCTGGTTCATTTCCCTGCCTGTCATGTCATGGGTTCTCTGCGACCCATTAGCACCAACCAAAACCCCTCCGCCGTTTAGTATGACGCAAGGCGACCACGATCGCGACAGTTCTGGAATGGAGTCTGCGAGCGGAGAGCGGTGGAAAGTCCGCTACACACAGCCCATGTCAAGTCTCTGCCTGGTCATACCAGTAGAATTCTGTGGCGTCAGGCGACGATGTTGCGTCGCGCAGGGACAAAGTTCCCTCGTGCTGCCAAGGCGTCTTCAAGTCAGCGCTTGATTTGCTTGCGCGCTAGTGTGCCTGCGTTGCCGACCCGCTCTTGCTCTCAGCTCCCTCCTCCCCTTCGTCATCGCACCAGCTCATTAAACTCACTTCATCCCCTCTTTTGATTCCAATTGCCGCTCCTACACTCCTACATACTCGCCGCAAATACTGCAAAGTCCGTTGCTCACCAGCATTCTATCTAGTTCATTGTTGACGGTAATTGGATCATCAATCAATCAGCTCCCAACGAACCTGATCTCGAGGGTAACGTCAACAACTTCATCACTCCCGATCAACTCAACGCCGAAACTCCCGGCGCCGCTATACTTAACACTGTGACTCCTTCGTCCACAACCGCTGCGATGGCTGCCGAACAACCTATCGAGAACAAATCCACAGAGCAGAAGCCTCTGGGTGATGAGGTAACTATCGAGCATGTTACTAATAACGGCAATATACTGACTTCCGAGAAGCCTGCCCAAGACGAGAAATTGCCCCTCGAGACCCCTTCTGACATTCCTGGTGGCTTCCCCGCTACACCTGCCAACGAGCTCGACAAGGTCATTGGCATCAACCCTCTCCCCGCTTCTGAGGGCCCCGGAAACCCTGTCAAGCTAGAGCCTGGCGAGAAGATCCCCGACTCCATCACCGCTCAAAGCACCGACAAATACGTCAAGCTCGACAAGGAATCGTACGAGAAGAGCGACGCTCTCCCTGGCATCGAGACCGAGCTCCCCCCCGTATCTTCCAACACTATTCCCGAATCCAGTCTGCCCATTATCGGCGCACAGGATGTTCTCATTAACTCCGCTGCTCCCACAGCTACTACTGCCGGCCTTGCTGCCGAGGTTCCGCTCGAATCCAACGGTGCTTTCGTCCCCGAGGTTGTAAGAGAGAGCCAGGAGAAGGCTGGCGCTGTTACTGAGGCCAGCACTGACCCTACGGAGGTCAAGGAAAAGACCATGGTCGAGGAAGAGCTCAAGGGAACCGTGCCCGAGGCACCTGCTACCTCGGTAGGAACCGCTGGTGTTGGTACCGAGAAGTCTGAGAACACGCCAGACACTAGCCTCGCCGCCCTGGCCGCTACTGCTGGTGGTGCTGTGATTGCTGCTGGTCTTGCTGCCAAGGAGACAGTGGAGGAGAAGGCCGGCCCTGCGCTGAACAGCGCTGCTGACGCTATTACTGATACCGCCAACAAAAACTTGCCCGATTCCGTCAAAGAGCAGCTTCCTGTTGCAGCCCAAGAGACCCTAGCCGCAAAGAACGAGGAGCAGATTCGACAGGAAGTGTCCCCTGAGGTCCCCGCCGAGGTTAAGGAATCTCTTGTCGAGGCCGGCAAGTCACCTGAAGCAGCTGCTAATACTGCCGCTGTTGAGGACAAGAAGGAGGTAGAGAAGGAGCTTCTCAAGGAGGTCAAGCCTGTCACTGGCATTTATGACTCTGTTGTTGAGCAACCTAAAGAGGAACCAAAGCAGGTATCTCCTGAGGTTCCTGTCGAGGTGAAGGACTCCATTGCGGAGGCTGGCAAGAGTCCCGAAGCTGCTGCCAACACTGAGGCCGTTGAGGAAAAGAGGCTTGTCGAAGCTGAGCTTCTCAAAGAAGTTAAGCCTGCTGCAACCATCGATGAAACACCCAAGGTTGCTCCTGAAGTCCCCAACGAAGTCAAGGAGTCCATCGTGGAGTCTGGCGAGCGTCCCGAGGCTGCTGCTAGCACAGAAGCTGTCGAGAACAAAAAGGAGGTTGAAGCTCAGCTTCTCAAAGAGGCCGAGCCTGTTCCTGCTGTCGACGAGGCCAAGCCCCAGGAGACTGAGTCTGCTGTTCCCGTTGTTGCTGCCCCTGCTGCTGCTCCTCTTGAGACAAAGGCTGTGGAAGCCAAGCCTGATGCTGAGCCTGTGACCAAGCCCGAGGAGCCAAAGACCGAGGCTAAGACAGAAACCCCGACCGTTGGTAACGGCAGCTCAGCAACCGGCAATGGCACTACAGCAACAGGAAATGGCGTCAAGGCTACAGAGACCAAGGCCGCCACGCCAGCCAACGGCAGCAGCTCGACGGCCAGCGGTGAAAAGAAGAAGAAGCACAACCGACTCAGCTCAATCTTCAGCAAGATCAAGCACAAGCTTTCCGACAAATAGATGAGAGAATGAGGCAACTTAGCTAATGTCGCAACGTTGTAGGGTCAGACACGTCTCATGGATTTTTGTTTTCTTGCGGTTGGTGTCTTCGTTTATCAATGATTCCCCTGGATCCATGAGCAAGAGGAGAGTGGTTGAGATCGCTGGAGGCGTAGATCTCTGTCATATACCTAATTCATAGTCAGTTTTATGCGCATGCTTTTGAATTGATACCGGGCTTCATGTATGATAGCTTCCTATAGGCCCAAAGAAGGATATCTTTTTTGGATAAGTCTTTGAGAAGCTCTTGTAGTCTGAAGTCATTCGCAGTCGTCATGCTAAAATCACGTTACCTACCTTGAGCCATTGTCAATGAAGTCATGTGATACTGATTGAATGACTAACCATGCTCGTTATGTCAGCTTCCAACAGAAGCTGGTAACGCCATTCCCCTGCACGACCCAGCCGTCAACTCCGTCACGATTTGCCCCGCCAGTGACTCGCTCGATCCACCTCGATCCTCCATCCATCAACGGGGTCCGTCCTAGCAGGACCCCTTCGTGAACCCTCATTCGACTCTTTCCATCTCAATCACCTTCAAAACCCCATCTTGGGCTCATCCTATATCTCTCCAACAACACTCATTTCTCGGAATCACAACCTGTTGACGGCACCCGTGTGCAACTTGCATGCAACCCCAACCACTGGGGACGGAGCGCAATTCATCACACGATTTGATCAATCCTTTGTCTCGTCGACCGTGGTTAGAGTCGCACAGAAGCCTTTGTTACGAAGATGAGCTCCTCTAGCTCAAACGTGGGAAAAGCTGCCCCTGCACCGTCTAGTTCCACAGCCATCCAAGCAGCCCCGGCATTATCGAGCTTCGAATCGTCTCGTCGCCCATCACAGGCTGGCTCCTCGAACCCGCAATCGATGCCTCGCAAGTCACAAGGCGCCCGCAAACAACACCGGAGTCAGCGGCGACCTGGACTCGGTGACAGGTCAAATACTGGCCCAGATGATGAAGATGCTATGGCCGAACTAAGGGCCTTCAGAAACCCAAACAGCAGGCGGGGCCAAACCTCAATTACCCATCTACTCAACTACTCAATGCCACGCCCGGTACAGGATCATCATGCACATTCGAGATCTTATCGTAGAACTCCAACATGGGGACCAGGCTCCGGTTATCATGCAAGCGACAAGGCTCGATACGTCCATGCCAACTACCGATTTATCCTCTCACCAGAAGGCACATACAACAAGCAAGCTACAGATGCCGACACGCACCTCGATTGGTCTCTTGTCATGCAAGTCATTGCTTCAAGCGAGTCGCAAGGTTCATCATGCCCCATCTGTCTTTCAGAGCCTGTGGCGCCTCGCATGGCAAAATGCGGCCACATCTTTTGTCTACCCTGCCTCATTAGGTTTATGAACTCAATCTCGAGTGAAGATGAAACTAAGGGTCGCGGACCCAGGTGGAAAAAATGCCCCATTTGCGAAGATTCTATCTACATGCAAGATGTTCGGCCTGTAAGATTTTACGCTGGACAAGAAAGTCCTTTCCCCCGGGTTGGTGACGACGTCGTACTGCGGTTAATGGCACGGAATGCAAACTCGACGATGGCCCTTCCACGAGAGAGTGGTGCCGAGGCGCTGTACTCACAGGATGACATTCCATGGCACTTTGCTGCCAATGTTTTAGACTACGCTCGCATGATGAAAGGTACAGCTGATTATATGGCAGCCCAGTTTGACGAGGAGATTGCTTCGCTGGGCCAACAAGCTAAGGAGGACGAGACCCTCTTCGGACAGACTGATGAATGGTCCCAAAAAGCAATTCGGGCTATCACAGTCGCGAAAGAGAAACTGGCTGATCTCCAGGTTGCTGCAAGCCCAGCCACGCCGGCACAACCCTCTTCAGACGCCGACTTCTATTTTTACAGCTCCCCACCTCACCTATATCTCTCACCGTTGGATATCCGCATCCTGAAGACCAAGTATGGCTCTTTTTCTTCGTTTCCTTCCACGCTACTCCCCCGCGTCGAGCATATCTCCACTGGCCATGTGGTCGATGACACAATGCGGCGAAGAGCAAAATATCTTGGCCATCTCCCACGTGGATGTGTCGTGAATTTTTTGGAGTGTGATTGGACCGACATCGTACCAGAAGAGACACTGGAATCGTTCGCAGGCGACATTGAGCGGAGAAGGAGACGTAACCGTGACAAAGAGACACAGGAAGAGCGGGAGCGCCTGCAAGCAGAGCGGCTTGAAGCCGCGAATCTGCGTAAGACTACTGGATATCAGAGGCTTCCTGAACCGTCGGAGGAGGATAGGGCGCCTCGAATGGACATGGAGGATTTCCAACCATTGAGCGGGCACTCAGGCACCACGCCCCCGGATTCCCGACCAGGATTCGAGACATTAGCTGAAATGTCGACCAGCCCCTCGACACAAAGGACAGTCTGGGGCACGAGGGTGATTAATGGATCACCCGAGATAGCATCTGCACGACCCTTGAACGTCAATGACGGGTGGCTTAAAGATGAGGATCTGTTTGATACGACTGATCTGGCGATGCAGATACAGGCTATCGAAGCTGCGGAGAGTAGTGTCAGTTCAAATACTGCCGCCGGAGTAGGAGGAGGAAACGGCAATGGTGCCGGAGGTAAGAAGAAGAAGAAACAGAAAATCACACTCATGAGCACTGGTGGCCGGAGAGGTAACTAGGATCATTGTTGTTGCATTCAATCTGAACATGTCTGAGGTCAATGGGTTCTTGTGGCGTAGCATAATGGATTTGTCTCTTTTTCATTCTAGGGAAGCAACAGAAGAGGTTAGGTATCAATACCGAATAGATTTCCCCAACATTTCAAGATGAATCCATTAAAAGCTTGGCTAAACAACCATCAGCCAATACCTACGTGACTTGTATTCATAACAAATGTGGGACAATCTGCTTCCATTATATGCATCTGCCAGTCTAATACATCTGCACCCAATGCCGATCAAAACTTCATTTGCAACATGAAACTCGGCATGGGAGCTGATAGTGCATGATCGGCGGAGGAGATCAAGTACATACAGTACTTTGTAGCATATATAACCGTCAAAGTTGCTGGAGCAATTTCTCCACATAAGATCGACTAGACGCGGAATTGCCGATGACCGCAAACTTAAAGTCCACAAGTTTTCGGTACATGAACAAAACTGGGTGATGGCACATGCGCATACCTACACTCAACTCAGGGCGACTCGGCATATACTGTATGTTACATACCTAATTTACAGTAGATCGGAACGAAACGTACCGTTTAACGGCCTGTAAGCATGCATGTGTTAACGGGCAGGGCAGTTTCGTATCCTGTTTACGAGGTGCAACGCAACTCGATAGTCGGAAGTCAGTCAATGCCAAGGATACGGGCTGGCCTATCAAGTTGCAGCTCTGTTGTGGCGTTCTTTGACCACGCAGAGCCTCGATTTCTTCGACGAAGGCCTGAAGGGCTGTGCCAGACAGGATAGTTCGAATGTTGAAACCACACCATACTGTACTGTACTATTCGTCAAGGCTTTACGCTGTTGGATTGCCTGCTTTTGACCGACCTTCTGGAATAGGCACGCCGACTCGATGGTTAGCGGATTTCCTGTCATTGGATAAATGGTAGCCACCCGACCCTTAGGTACTTCGCAGCCAAGCAACCCCCCCGCGGTTTGTAACAAAGTACAAGTACAAGAGTTAGTACTACCAGTACCTAAGTCATGGCCTCAATCTTTTCTTTACCCTATCAACACGATCAAGAGTGTTGTTAGTAGATCTTGTGCAGTATGAAAATGTCCCTAATAAGGCCTGAGTCAGGGGCCGGACGGAATAAAGGACTGAGATGAAATTGGGAGGGAGCCAATTCTCCATTGCCGTCCTGAAAAGTGTTTATAATTTTGATATGATGTATGTCCATCCATCTATCCGTATATTAGCGGGAATGAGTGGGGTTACGGGGAGCTGGACCTAATTGATTAGGGGCCGAAGGTGTTAGGGCGGTGTTGAAATTACATACAGAATCCAGCGCCGGGAATAGCGACAACAGATGTACGTACATACTTGTAGTGCGAGTAGGTAGTCCGTTTCAGTGTGTTGTTGTAGACTGGCCTGGCCAAGACTTGATTCCCGTGAATGCTGCGCCAAGAAGAGACATATCGTTGTCAGTGAAGGGGACTACTCCGTAAGGTATCGGTGACCCCGCCATGGATCGAAATCGAGTGCCGTCCTGCCGTCTATTACGAATCTACCAATCCAGGCCTGACCTGAACAATGGGAAACGTACAGTACATACGGATACTCTTCTGACACTCGACGATGAGCGGGCCCCCTTGTGCCTTGGCCTACAGCAGAACTGCTTGGCGAGCCACTAACACTCTCGCCTGCGAGACACCGGCCGGCTGAAGTCCAGCAGCTGCACGGTCCGTTTTGTCGTCATGTGTACTGGGGTCCTGTTCATGATCCTACTGGGCATATCCTAGGCTGTTGGGGAGGAACAGAGAGAGGGGAACGGGAAAACCGCTTGATCGGCACGGAATCAGTGAGTGAACTGATGAATAACGATGCAGTATCAGAGACAGTTGGGCACATAGTCTAGGTGGGCAAAGCAGAGTATCTTGTGACGCTGACAACCTAAGACAGTCAACTGGTTGATGGCTTATAAATGAGGCAGAATAGCCCAGTCAGATACGAAGCGGCAAGGGAACTTGAGTTGCTCATCTCTCCGATATCCATCGTTTCTCACTCAATCGATTCCTTTAGGATCTGACTGTTGTGTCTTGTCTTATCCCTAGAGGCGCAGGATAAGTAAGCAGAACTCGACCCAATAATAGGTACCTACCTACCAAAGTCTAAAGTCTTGGTCGTTGTGGCTACACTCTACGTTGCTGTCACGTCGCCCTTTTTGCCCAACAAATCATTCTCGCCAAGCGAGAGCAGCCAATTCTCGGCTGACGAACGACGACCCCACCCAACACCACTTACGGATAGACTACAGAGCGCGCTAACGAAGCGCCGGGGCCTGGGCCGAGCCTCAAGCAGAAGCAACGCCACTTGACGCATACCCCAGGTCACATAACACCACTGAAAGGGTCGACGGCTTTTATCCAATGTTGTCGGGCGTAAATTGCGATACAACAGAGACGGTTCGACTAGCAAGTTCCTATTGTGCAGATCCTCAGCTACATCGAGTTTCATTGTTTTATTTATTTAGCCTTTGTGTGCCCATCAAATCCGTCTTTGGCTGGTGCTTGGTGAGCATCAGAGACACAAGACATTGTAAGACAAGAGGTGAGTTGTTCATTCACTCTTTGTCTTTAATTGTTCACAGAACTTGTCTGTCTGACAGTCTGTCTTTCGGAGTTTTACCTGCCTCTGGAACCACTCCACCACCCCTTGTCAATTACGCACTTTTGGCCCTTCTTCGCACCCCTGTCCTTTCTGTCATTGAGGACTTGCTCTCTCTGGGGCGCAGGCAAAGGGCCACTTTACCGCTGCTGCTCTCTTGGCCGGGCTTGGTTGTTCAACTGTCTCTCTTGGCTGAGGTGCCGAATAGCGAGAGCCAAGCCTCACGATTAAGCTCGACATTGGTCGCGCCGAAGATCCGATCAAACTCAGCGCTTGAGGAGGCTGTAGGCCAAGCAGTGACCAAGAAGAAAAGAAGAAGAAGCTAATCGTAATCATTCCATGTAGCTCATCATTCTGTGGACGCAATATAACCCTGTCTGGCCCCCCATCGCCCATCGCTCACTATCGCTCCTCTGCCCAAATCTCCTAGGAACCCCAGCAAACTTCAGCCCAGCTATCACAGACTTACAGCAGCTGTCTGTGCTAGACTACCTAACCTACTTACTCCAAACTCGTCCCCTGCCGCTGGTTTAATTTGACCAAAAATCTTCCGGCCTTCTCTTCATTGAAGCGAAAGTGAAATCTCCTTTTTCTTCTTCAGTGACAGACCAACATAACATAACTGCGTCACTATCCTTTCTTTGCACTCTTCTCCACGGTGCTTTCTCTCTCAAGGTTACGTGCAACCGCTGAGGCTTTGCTCTGGCGGCGTCCGCTTACACCCACACACCACACGCACGCACGCACAGCTCTCTCTTACATCCGTCCATCTGAACTTGCCCCATGTGGTAATACAGCCACAGTCAACAAGAGTCGATGTAGTTCAAGGACTGAGCAAGATCGCTATCTTTTTTTCCCTCCCCTCTTTACTTTTAAATTTCTCATCATAAACAAACAAACAAACACATACTCAACTCTCGGTCGATCATCAAATGACTTCTCATCCCACGCACTCCAAATCCACCGAAACAATGGCGGATACTATCACTACTACGAGTACCGCCAAGCCTCGAAGGGAATCGAGAGAACCAAGAGACACAGGGTTCCCTGAGCCCTTTAACAATGGTAAGTATCTATGTATCTAGTCGACACCCAACTACTGCAATATAACCACCGTTGCTAACCATTTTATAGTCCGAAACACCACACTCCCACATCCTGATGCGGATCTTTCACCCAACGCTTGTCTCACTCAAGAAGATATCGACCCTGACCGGGCACTTATGCGAACTCGACGATCTTTCCTTAGGAAGAAACGACGCACTCTCAACCATGGCCGTATTACCCCCACTTCGGAAGCTCTCTACAGTGTATTCTCCCTGGTCCAATCTGATGTTGGAGAAAACGAGAGCGTCAGAGCCGGCAATCCATCTATGAACAGCTTCCGCCCTTCTACATCAAGCATCCGACTCTCCAAGGACGAGACCGATAGTCTCGCGTCTAGGAACACGAGGAGGGACGAAGAGGACACACCGCCAACTTCGCCCGACGTACCGACCCATCGCTCTAAGAAAGGATTTATGAGCAAGTTTCGGAGGAGCTAGAGGTGTTGTATAACCTTCCGAACAAACAGTGCAGCACCTCACTCAGAGCGGAACAATCATGACTTCTACAACGACGTATACGGCCGAACCTGATGACCCTGTGACGAACGCATCACCGAGATGCTTTTCTTCCGGATAAAAATCTACTTTCTTTACTTTTCTTTTGTGGGTAGCGTGGCGTTTACCTGGATCACGGTTTCTTGATCGGCAAGGAAAAGGATCGCCTGACAAACAGTGCAAATACTTGGATATTAAAGTCCCTCTGGTAGGGCAGAGACAGCAATGTCACTCATATAGCCAGTTGGCTTGGCTTGGAAGGAAGTAGCCGACAGGGACACTCTTTTAAGAATTAATAAGTACCTTAGCTTCATCGCTATGATCGTAACATTGTCATCGTCTCTGTGCTATCTTCATATCATACCAGTGGGGTTTCAGGATAAGGGTTCTAAAAATCGCTTTGGCATCGATTTTCTCTCATGAGATAGTTACAGCACCTGATTCTGGTCGCTTCGCTCCGTGTAGTACCAAGAATACTACCATCCATTTAGCTTCCACGGTAGGAAGTATAGCTATAGGGACTCAGCAGCAGGGGAACATGATACGTCTGTCCCTCGTCGACACGAAATGTTACCGTTACTTCAGGGAAGAAGGTGTTTTCTTCGCCAAAGTAAGCTCCCGTATCAAAACGAAGCGTCCATCGCGACGAACCCTGCCCCTTGCGGTCCTCAAGTACCTCAACGAGAGTCTGAAGAGGAGGCTCTCCAGCAGCATCCTCGGAAAGATACGGTAGCCAGGCTGTAACG